TCAACAGGATAGGTATATTCTCTGTGCCAAACTTTGTCACTAGGTTGTCCCTCCAGCTGTGGTTGCCTTCCCTTCCCACCATGCCCCAGGCATGGCCATTCCCCACAAATGATAAAGACTGGCCTGTCCTAAGCAACATGCCAAATAATAGCAGTGCTAATTAACAACTTTAAATCTTCCTGTTTGCTCTTTTAGTTGCCACCAGGAGGGACCTTGTCCCCACCATAATTAGTTCATGTGTTGCTAATATAGTTCCTCCTTCTTCCTATAGTTTCCAACAATTTCTGGGGCACACTTCCTATTTTTATCTTTTTACCTTCTGCTTTAGTTGGGAGATAAAAGAATCTTTGGGGTTTGCTAAAGAAATGTCAGGATCAAGCCTCAAGCTGGAATTCTTTTATGGATTGTCTCGTGTTCATTTCATGTGTATACCATGGAATGATATGTGCAGACTGATCTATGACCAAAAAAAACCCCAGAAAAAATGCCAGGCACCATATCGTGCATGCTGGGCATGACTGTAGCTTCTGGAAGCTTCTGACTTGTGGGCCTGTGTGATCTCACGATTGTAGCCTAATAATATAATAAAGTGATGGTGTGGTTGGTTGTTGCTAAGTAATCATTTTTTTAAATGGACAGAGCTAGAATTTAATGGTTCTACAAAAATTTATTCTCCACCCAACAGATGGCAAGAGCATATAATCTCTCACGGTAACACATTTTTCTATTGAAATGTGGAGTAGAAGAGTGACTTAGTTGCTGGCTGGTTATTTTGAGCTATGTAGCAGAGAAGGGACATATTTGGTGGATGAAAATTACTAACAGCAACAGACTGAGGCCAAATCTCAGTGAAGTAGTAAACCTGTGCCTAGGCTGGCAGGGTGCTCATATGATCAATGCTCCTCCATGCAAAATAGTTCTCTCTGGAGAGAAGGTAGGTAGGAACAGACTTGGCTTGACAGAACATTTTCAATTGACTACCAATCTGCCCCTAAATAATTGGAGTTTATTGCTAGAGTAAATACTTCAAGTGGGTTGAATATAGAGCAGAAAGCTGATTGCACAAGGAGCACTCCCATCCCTTCTCTCCCCCTGCCCTGCCCCCCAGGTCCTCCCTTCCGTGTCAGAAGATCCTTGTGAACAGTGTAGGTTGGGTTACAGGTCTGCAGCAGGAAAGGGAAATTGCGCAAACGTAGGCAGTGGCACCTGGAACAAGCTTTTTCCTCTGGCTATAAAAATCTGTCATACTGGGGCTCATTGCTGCATTTCTGGGCAAATCATATCTGTTCTGCAAAGTGGGGGAGCAAACATTTGCCATTATGATTCCAAAGACATACATTCTAGTCCCGCTACAACACCTCTTGCACAGAGTGTGCATTGCTGTTCTGCCAAAAAGAGGCTGTATTTTACTTGTAGACGAGAAACAATGATCCCATGATAGGATTTTGAAGTGTTGGTTTTGTGTTGTGCCACAGTGCACTGCTTCTTCTTTAAAGCAATCTCAGTTTTTTAAGATTTTAAACAAAGGATGCAGCTATGATTCTAATCCTGTACCCAAGCCTTACCCTGCTCTGTCTGTCTGATATACACATATTAAAGCCAGTGTTTGAAGGTACAGGGGTGGCAGCTCCCAACTGATTATTGTTTTAAGGGTCATTAACTTTCTCCCTTTTTCTCACTAGTTGGTAGAGGGCCATTGCTTGTGTCTAAACATATCCTAATTATTGCTCTCATAAATCAGTGTATCATACAACTGTCTTAAATGGGTTTTGGGGACCTTATCCTGATAGGTCCTGACAACTGTAAGCTACTGTTTCCTCACACTGTTTAACTCAGACCACATTTTTCAGCCTCTTCTGCTGCCAATCCCAAGGCCAGCTTTGTATCCGTCTGGTTTAAATCTAATGTTTTCCATTGTCTTGTTGATTGGCTTTGCTCTAAAGGGATACCAACTTTGATTATTAGCACCTCCTTTTAGTTTACTCTGTTTCCCCCACAAGTATTTTTGGTTCAATGGCTGTATATTGTGATTACTCTTACCCCAGCATGTGCGCGCGCACACACACACACACACACACACACACACACACACACACACATCACTTTAAAATATTCATCAGTCAAAAAGCTTTAAAGTTTTATTAGTACTATAAAAACTCCTTACAAATAACATTGATCTTGATAAGCATTCTTTTTGACAATGAGAATTTGCTAAGGGCTGTTGCCAGGTTGAAGGAATTTGTGGTTTGAAACTGAAATTGGCAGGAAGTGGAGAGTCCAAGTGTTTTCTTGTTTTCAGTTTGTCTGTGTTTCAGCCCCTGGCCCAATAAAAGTGCTTTATTTCAGTGACTACTTTGCTGTTTAGAATGCAAATAATGTTTAGATTTGTTCACTTTTCTTTGAAGTTTTCATATGTAATCTGAGAAGATGAGTTTAAAGGTTTAAATCGCTTTGTTTGCGTACACTAAAATTAATTCATACATTAATGCAGTGCTTTTTTTGTAAGATGAAATTATTTACCTTTCACACGTAGTCAATCACTGTACACACACCCACACACGTCAGTTGTGTAATGAAACGTAACGGTTGCCACCCGCAGTAAGCTCAGCCCATGACCACACAACCAATCACAAGCTGAGCAGCACCACAAGCTGAGCAGCGCCATCACAACCAGTGCGAAGTACGCATGCATCGGACTCGACACACAAGCAGCCTGCATGCACCTTTTTAATGATTTTGCCGCCGACCTGCTACGCTCGACAGGGCAATTCGAATCCACATGGACCAAACATCAAATTTTCAAAAGTTACTTTTAAAACTTGGAAAATCCATCGAAAAAAGGTGCCGGAACTCTGTTCCGGTGCGTTCTATGACAAAAAAAGCACTGCATTAATGTATCATTGGGTTTCCTAAAGTCACAGAATGCTTTACTAACAGAAGGTATACTGCAAAACAAAAAACACTGTGAAACAATACTTTAGAACTTCAAATAATCATCCAAAGCAATCAGTAACAAGACAGTAATATCAAAATATGTTCAGCTAATGAAAGACTCAAATGTCTTGTCAAACAGACCTAAAAACTTAAATGAAGAGGTACATCTTAAGTGACCAACAAAGGAAAGCTATTGGAGATGCAGCTCAAAATGCAGGCGGTTCCATAAGGAGGGTGCCACAACTGCAAATGTTCATATCACCACTTCCTTGTCATTGCCCAAAAGTGAGCAGAACTCTCTCCAAACATGTCCCAGGCTGGTACATATTGGAAGAGGTGATCCTAGGATGATTTGGACTCCAAGCTATTTACTGTTCTTATAAATCAACATCAAGTAGGCTTGGAAGCAAATAGATAGCCAGTGCAGATCTCAAAAAGTATAGACAATAAATTGCATGCTAAGGCATGGAGTACTGTGGCCAGATTATCCTGGTCCAGGAAGAGCCATAGTTCATCAGCCAGGTGGAGCTGAAGGTAGCAATGATGTAGGCCACCAGTGACAAAGTCAGATGGAAGAGTGTCCTTCAGTGGGAATGCAGTGCTGTTCAATCCTGCCCATCTATCCACTTTCCAGGCCTAGGGACTAGCCACCAAGAATGCCTACATCTAGTCTCTACTGCCTCCTGACACTATTCTATCACCCGCACTGTCTTATAACATTCAGATGGAAGAGAGAGAGAGAGAGAGGTGCCACCTCCATGCCCTTGACTCCAGATCTCAAAATTACCTCTCACTGTGCCTTCATAGAGATGATGTAAAACAGGACAGAAAAAATGGCACTGCAGCTCCCACATCTCAGCTGAAGCACCATGGGGTGAAGCAGATGTTTCCCAGTACTACTATGCCCTAGAATCAGTTCTGCATGAAAGAGCAGTCTATCACCTACAGTATATACAGCTCCTATCAACCTTGACTACTGAACCCCTGGATGGTCACAAGTTCATTCTCCCCACCCCCATGTTAGACTCTTTCTGATCATGTATTTCTTCATATGGAACTGGATTCAGAGATGACTGATTAGAACTTCATTTGTGTAATGGGGTTTCCTACCTTCTCTGCCACACTGCAGCCCTTCCTCTACAGAATCAATCCTAAGGAAAGATGAGGCTTCTGATATGGCATGCAACAGGGAACTGGGGCTACAGTAGGATTTGGTGGGGCTGCCTGAAACATAAGATGCATTTCCATTTGTTCATGACATCTCTGGATCCAAGCATGTTCTCCCCACATCCATGTACCTTATTGGTAATCGTGAGAACAACCGTCCTTAATCTGGTGCCTTCCTGATGTCTGGACAGCTCCCAGTACCTACAAGAGATATGGAGGGTGCCAGGTTGGAAAAGCTTGCCTTAGAAACTGAATATTGAAGAAAGTAAACCCATTAAAACGATGCATGGTAACTAAGCTTAATGGATCTTACATAAAGGATGGTCACATTTGGATAAGTACCTGATTTTTAATGCCTTGGTTTTTAAAAATTGGGTTTACAATAGAATGCAGATTTACATTACCTGACCCCTCAGGTTGTCATCAGAGGCCCTTCTGAAAGAGCCCCCTTCTCAGGAAATAAGGAGGGTGGCTAAAAGAAGAAGGGCCTTTTTGGCAGTGGCACCCTGACTTTGAAACCAGCTCCCCAGAGAGGTTCGCCTGGCAATTTCTTCGTATTCTTTTTGGCACCAGGTGAAGACCTTCTTTGTTCCTCAATATTTTAATTGTAATAAAATATTTAAACCATTAAAATAATTCTATCTGGTAGATTGTTGTTATGACTTTTATGTCAATTTATGGTTCTATGAAGTTTTACAATGGCATGGTTTTACATGTTTAGATTGTTAGATTTTATTATTTTTATATTAGTGTTCTTACTGTATGTTGTCATTTTATTGTGTATTTCTTAATTTGTAAACCACCACCACTCTGGAAGCCTTATGGCTAATGGGGCACGATAAAAGTCTAATAAATAAAATAAATGCAGAATTTTATTTTTATTTTTTAACAAACTTTAGGCAGAAGCAAGAATTAAAACTGTGAAAGCACTTGAAGAATTTGACTTTGGTCAGGCAGAGAAATGTGTTCGGATCAATTCTGTATCCAGTGGTCTTGCTGAAGAAGATATGAAGGTCATTTTGAACTCCAACATTCTTCCTACAAGCTTAATGCTACCCAAAGTTGAAAGTGTTGAAGAAATAAGATGGGTGAGTTAAACAAGGGTTTGCCATAATTTCAACTTCAGCAGAAGGCATTGATCTAATTTCAAAAATGCCATTAAGATTAGTAGAATTATGTTATAAGGCCAACATAGAAGACCCCAGTTACAGTACCAGCTGAATTAATTTGTCACTTTATCATTTGAATGTAAATGTATAAAAAATTCTAAAGACTGTCTTATATTAAAGCAAATGCAGGGCAATTTGTAGTTTACCTGAAAGTACCCCCCCCCCCACATACACACACACCATTAAGCACAGTGAAACTTCTGAAAGTATGGAAAGAAATTGCACTGGGGACTTTGAAATAATATTTTGAAGGGAAACACTTCTGGCGGAATGGGCACAGGTTGGACTTGCATGCAGATTATACATGCTGCATTTGAAATGTTAAGCAGAATGGATGTCTTGCTTACTGTTTTAACAAGCAATCCTTAAGGCAAAGTAAACATGATTAAGATGTAACTCTTTTTTTTCTCCTCATTATATTAAAACCTTTCTAACTGTCATGTAAATGCCCTGGAAGTTGTTGGAAACTATAGGAAGGAGGAGGAAACATTTTAGCAACACATGAAAAAATTATGGTGGGGACAAGGTCACTCCTTGGGGCAACTAGAAGAACAAACAGGAAGCTTTTAACTCATGTTTTTAATTAGCACAGATATTATTTCCTGTCCAGTTCTCTATTTCTTCCTTTTTAATTGCTGACAGGTGTGTTTGTGCCTCATGACTGAATTTTCAGCCAATAAAAACCTGAAATGTAAATAGTTAGCATGTCAAATTACTTAAGCAAACTTTGAAATATGCCTAATTATGTTATAATCGTTTTAATTTTTAAGGTGGGATAAGCTTTATTTAATGATATTATTACTTTTGAAAACTTGCAGTGAATGTTATTTTCATAGTTTGGAAAACCTGGAATTCCTAGAAGAAAATTCATATAAAGGGAAAGTCAGAAAAGTCCAGACATTTTTCTTTCGTTTCTCTCAGTTTTCTCTCATATACACATCTAACCCTAAATGAAATGAACCCTAAAGATGCCATAGGGTTTCGTTTTTGTTTACTTGCTTGTTCATTGCACAATCAGAGCATAACACTGAACAATAAGAAACTTCAGATAAATTCATTAAATCTTGATGGAAGCAAACATATTTGGAAAACCTGAGCTCAGTTGTATAACAACATGTAAATTCATAGTCCAATTATTTATTCAGTAATATTCTCTTCAGAAATGTATAGCGGCATGATCTTTTGGAAGGTAAGATCCACAGGCTTCTTTGTTGTTTTTGCTGCAGCTGACTAACACATCTGGAATTTGATGATTATGAATATTCATATTTCCATTCTAGCAATGGCTCCACTATTACCAAATATGTTTGATCTCAATGTGAGCTCTTCAGGCTTTCTTTCAAATTCACACTAAGGAGAACATGCATTGCATTTCCTCATCTCTGATTTCAATTTCTATCATTTCCTTTTCTGGAAATAAATCAGCATTCGCATCCAACTTCTCAATGCATCTATTTCTTTTTTAAATGTTTCTGTCTTGAAGACACGTCGCCTCTCAGACTCTTGTCGTTGTTTTAAGGTGGCTGGTATAATGGAAAGCTTTTTGCTGTTTATTTTTTCCCGTTCATTTTTATTTATGTGAAGCATAAAACCTGGAGACTGATGCACAACTAAAAGATGGGCTTACTTGTTTTCTTTTGTGTGAGAATCTCCTGCTTTCCTTTTGTCCCTAGTATGGGTACTTGTTTGACTGGCATGGCTTATTGGAGTATAACAAGCGTAACTCTCGCTCCTTTGTCATGGGACAATTCTCCCACAAATCCAGAACTGTGGGCATTCTTTCCAATACACTATCGGGTGTGCGCTGGAATTGAAAGAATTGCTAAGGCCTGGTACTTCATCCCCTCCCTGATCTTTGTTTTTGTTCCCCTCCTCCTTTTTTCCACCCCCTCTCACTGAAATGAACACTTTACCAGGCCGGAAACATTTAATCGGCTGCTTTTGAAAAAAAAATAATTGAACCTTCTCTACTAGTTGCTTTTTGTATTTGGTGTTAATCACAATTTTTAAAAGATCTAATAAAGAAGAGAGGAAAACAATATTTGATCCAAAGGTTTTCCTTTTCGTTCCAAAATGAAATGGATTAAAAAAAAAAGAAATTAGACACAAACATGGATAGGTGCTGTTTTGATTTTATCATGACTGAGCATACAAAGGGTTTGCTGTTTAAGAGTTCATTTCTAGTATAAAGCAACTCTTATCTGTTAAATTACTAAAATTGTCAGTGCATATTGGCTCTGCTTTATTATTATAGTTTTGGAGAAGATTAAGGCTGCAATTCTGAACACACAATTCTGAACATTTGGGAGTAAGCAAGTACAACTGAACTCTAATGCTTGTGTTCACATAGGCACGTGTAGGGTTGGGCTGCGATGCCTTTTTAAAAAAATTGCTTCATGCTGTACACTGAGCATTTGAATCACAGACTTTCTCCTTAATTCCTTACATTCTGTGGCTTATGGACCTGTGGAAAAGGTTTGACAGGCAGCAGCGGCCGCTTGCTCCAAGTGGCAGCTGCAGTGGTGCTTCCATCACACACACAGAAAGTGAGGACGGACAACATTTCTCATTGCAGAGTGACGCAGTTTATTTTGGCCTAATGTAAAGCTACTGCAAATTGGTTAGAAGGTTTTTAAAGATTTCTGTGATTAGATTCTCTTTTTTTTAGTGGGGGAGGGGGAGAGAACTAAAAGGGGAAATAACACCTCTAATCCAGCTTCTGGTAAATAGGCTGCCAGCTTTTAAAATGAGTTTCCTTTCTATTAGTCAGAATATTATGCTAAGCCTTAAGCATTAGTTTTTATGTTGCCATAGCAGCCTTATTCCTGCAGGGTTGTGACCTGCGATGATTACAGTACAAAGCTTATGGGGTCTTGAAACCCCCTTTGAAGATGAAAAGTCTTTGATGGTTTATATTTATGCAAATCTCTTAGATATGATTTACCCAACTGAGACTGAATGGAGAGATGATTAAAATTCCCTTTTCCTTTGATATCCATTAATGATTAAATATTCCTTAAATATAAAATTGGTGCATGTTTCTTCCCCTTCTTTCTTTATTGACTAAAATTTCCTTAGCATACCTGTGATATGTTTATCTCCCAATACATTAGTAGATCTAGAAAGACATAATAGATTTACAATATACAGAGGTGGTTTCTCCCCTCCCCCCCCCTCGCGCTCCATTCCCTTTTGAAAGGGGGTGAAGGGGGGAAAAAATCAGTACAAGAGCTTTTGTATGTTTCCAGATGATAGATTTTGGAATCTGGGCTACCCCACCGGCAGCTCAGAGCTAGCTGTGAACTGGTCTCATGGAAAAAATTGGAGAGCTTTGGTCTTCAAAGAATTAAACTTCCTTTTTAAGGCCCTTCCTAGGTAAGCTAAAAAATTATGAAGAAAAGGCCTCCAGAACAAAGGGTAGCAGTGCTGCAGTGAATAATGTGGGTGCCACTTTGGAAGGCTGGGGAACATTCACAGCCGTGTCAGTGTCAGACATGAAACAAAACAGAATGTCAGGTATATAAATACGTCTTTGTTTTTAAGAGGCTGCTGATTTGCATTTAACTAAGGCAGGGTGATAGGTGTTAGGCAAATATTTTTGCAAGGAAGCCTTCAAAATATACAGTGATGCTGGCATGCTAAAAGATAGGCCTATGAGAACAGACCTCTTTCAAAGCTTGTGGGGGTTCATTAGTGTTCAGGGCTTTGTTTTCCCTGTTTGTTTGTATTTCAGTCAATGCAATATTTAGATAACAATACCATTTTATAGACTTTTTAAAGCATTGATTATTTCTCCCCCTCCCTCCACAATGTTCTTAGTTTGCAGAGAAATTTGCATGCCACTTAAAAGGCAGAACACTTGTAGAACCTATGCGTTTCATCCCTTTTGTGGAAACAGCAATGGGGTTGCTCAATTTTAAGGTAAGAAACATCAACGTAATTCAGTTGGTATTCCTGCATAAAGCCCTAGTGTTTGGAAGAATAGGCACTGTTGAATAAATCACAGTTTATTAACTGAAAAAGTGGCTCACGATGCCATAAGATGTGTTACATTCATTTAACGTGTGTGTGTGTGTGCATTCATTAACCAAAATATTCAGTTTCATGTAATGTAGGCACATTCTTTGGAATAATTCTTTCTTGTGCTATTATTAGTTCTTTGGGCATTTCTGTTTTATTAGAAACCAAACTGGAAATCTCATCTACCTTGAAAAGATACGGAGTGTTCTAAAGAGAACCGTTGTTCTTGGATATTCTAGATGCTGTCATGAATCAGTTCAGCCAACTTTTCAGTTAGACTTCATTTTTAATGTACAATTCAGGAGCCTTAAAGTAATACTTGAAAGCACTTGTTTTACAAAGTTCTAAAAACCAGTACTATTTTTTTTAAAGATCCATGAGTGTTTCATGGTGAAAAACATAACCTTTTTCTGCAACTCACTGTATGACCAAACTGGCACTAAGGTGTGCAAAGTGTTTTCTTCATCTGCCTTATAAGCAGGTTATTTCTACCTCCGCCCCCTGCCCCATCTCCCTGTTGATCAAATCCATGCAAATGGCTACCACTCTTGGCATGCAACCGGTATGTTTCTGTGGTTGAAAGATATTAACAATGAAGCAACTGAAGCTGGAGCGCACCCCAGCCATGCCAAGATTTCCTGGAAAAGTTTTGTGTTATTGGAAGGAGCTGCTGGGAGGCCCTTGTGGCTACTATGCCGATATACATCACATTTTCCAGCATGTTTCAAATATATTTTTCCGACTCCAATGTAACGAATGGCTAACTGTACAAGCTCATATTAAGCAGCAAAGTTATTTAATTTTTATAGTTTCCTCTTTTATGGACCTCTTTCTCAGAATAACAAAGAAGATTTAGTCAAGTTAAAATATCAGTATACAGGATTTGTATAAATCGCTATACTACGATACTTGGTGTCTACAGTGTTTGTTATAATGTAATAAACAAGAGACACACAGCTAACTGTAGCCCTGAATGCTTACAAAAGATCCCAGCATTCTGTGACCAAGCTGCATTTTAGAAAACAATTTACATGCCATGCTTACACAAATATTGCTGCAATATAGAAATTAATGCTTTCAGCAAACTCCAAGGTAATATTTGCTTTTCAAATGATTTTCTATTCAGCTTGTTGCATTTTATATCTCCTGTAATTATATTAGCTACTTGAGGTTACGTAGAATAGATTGATTAATAACCCACCTTATTCTGCACATTAGCCATGACTAGAATATTACATTTTCCATCTGTAATATATTAAACCAAAGATACTCCTGTTGCAGTTCTATAGAGGTAATAAGCATTCCTGAGTGAAAAGGCATCCAGAAGTATCTACTGTATGCTATTACAATAGCTGATACATTCAAAAGTTTTATGGGAAAACAGAGGAAAATGCGATTATGTATTTTAAGCAGGAACCTTATATCCAGTTTCCAGGAAGTATTCCCTATTGGGACTTCCTGAATAACTACACATAGGTATGCACTCCACTGGATATATTTCTGTTCAATTATTTGGGGGGTACACGTTTATGCATGCAATTTTTGGTTGCAGTTCGTACGTTTGTTTATTGTGCATACTAGGCAAGGGATGTCTGACAGCCCTTGCTTTGAGGAACAAATTGAGTATCTTTTGGGGAATAAGATTTTGATCAAGATGATGTTTGTGTTAACGTTTGTGTTACACTTAAAGGCAGTTTGTGAAGAAACTCAGATGTTGGGACCCAAAGTTGGCCTTCATCTGGATGCAGTAGTCTTTGGAGGTGAAGATTTCCGTGCCAGCATAGGTATTTCCTTTTTAAAAATAAAAAAATAAAATCACAATATTAGTAATATTAATAAAACATTCTGTCATTATCCTAAGCAATTTTAGTCACAGTTCTTCTAACTGAAGTCAATGAAATTAAATTAATGCATCTAACTCTGAGTTAAATTATGGACATTGTTTTAAAAATGGAACCCACTGGTTTTGTATGAATCTTCCTTGGCTGCATTAACCTGCCTAAATTTCTTTGCATTACCTCCTGAACATCTTACTGAAGTGCAGCAGAATCATGCTGCTTGTAATCTTGAGCCTGCTATAAATGTGATCTTGCAAAAATATATTCTGCTTATTGACTTGTACTTAATAAATAGAATAGTTGTTAAAATCAGTAACATAATTGTGTACATTCATGTTTCAAGGAATTTCTATTTTCTATTTTATTTGGAAATAACATAAAACCATTTTCCAAAGTACTGTTCTGAGGTGTGGCATTTTAGAATAGAGAGTCTACACTACAGAGTAGCTTATTGTTAATATTTTAAATCATGCATTGCTTATATGTTGTGTTTTCCAGCACACACCTTAACACTTCCACTAGTAAACAGCTGCTTTTCATTATCTTCCTGTCTTCAGGTACAATATCCAAAACTCAGCATGAATGTCAGAACCTCTTTTTATGCTATTTACATATGACAAACATAGCTATTAAGTATGATCCTTTTAACCCAGTTCACCTTATCACATTTTGAGTAGAGTTTAAAACCATTTAAAACTAAATGAAAGGAAGCAATATTTTAGATGAATACCAAAGCCTTAATTCCTCATAACATCAGAACCTAGCTTGCACTGTTCATGCTCCAAACAAGACAATATCATCATCATCATCATTGCACAGTACTGTGTTTTAGAAGGTATCCTTTGGACTCAGAAGGTTTTGCAAATTCCTTCCATAAATCTATTTCAAATATTCTGTCCAAGGATTTGAACATATCTGAGGCTAAAAATTATATATTTGAAGAACGTATAATTGAAATCAATTGTCTTACTTATAATGTGCATAAAATCAAAGTGTTATCAACTCTTGGTCACACTGAAATAAATGGAACTACTCTGGTTTAATTGGATTGAGCATCACTCTAGGGTTGTTTTAGTGTATCCTGATATTAGCATGTTTCCCTGAAAATAAGACCAGGTCTTATATTAATTTTTGCCCCAGAAGACGCACTAGGGCTAATTTTCAGGTCATGTCTTATTTTTTCATGTACACCAATCTACATTTATTCATGTACAAAAATCTACATTTATCCAAATACAGTCATGCCATCTTCTTCTGGAACATCATCATAACTCTCCAAACCCTGAATTGTGTTGCAATGGATGTACTAAATGCATCCGTCTGGCTGACTGTCTTAACTGGGGCTTATTTTGAGGGTAGGGCCTATATTACGAGCATTCTGAAAAATCATGCTAAGGCTTATTTTCCGGTTAGGTCTTATTTTCGGGGAAACATGGTACTGTTGTAATGCTGCCTATCACTATAATAATAATACTAAGTATCAGTAAATGGCCTAAAAATAAGTCTGTTCCATATTTCTTACTGAGGAAAAGCTGCTCAGGCTACAGTCCTATGCCTGCTTTCTCTTAGAGTAATATTCACTTAAATCAGTAGGATTTACTTCTGAGTAGACATGTATAGAATTGCACTTTTAGCATAGCTTTCTGCTCAGGGCCTTGGCTTTAACAAAAATGTTCAATTGTTCATTTCAGAACCAGAGACAGGAAGCAGAGGAGGGGGTTGTTTTGCCAAAGCCATCTTTTCTCTAGCAACTGCTTCAGACAAATGTAGAAAGAGAACTTTTCAATATTTTCTTTCTTTCACAAGAATAAAACAAATTTAATTTCTGCTAAATTTTTGTTGGCAAGATCCTGCTGCAAAAATCCAACTTTATCAACTGTTTTCTCTTTCACTGTCTCCCTTCAGGTTCAACGAGTAGCAAGGACACCCACGATATTCTTTATGTCAGGCAAAAAATTATTGTCACAGCAAAAGCTTTTGGCTTACAGGCCATAGACCTTGTATATATTGACTTTCAAGATGAAGAGGGTCTCTGCAAGCAGTCGAGAGAGGGTGCCTTAATGGGCTTCACTGGTATGGCTTTTAGATGATGTTTAAAATTTGTTTATTATCTCTCCTCCTTCATCGTAAAACAGATGTGCTTTATAGTGCTGGCTCCTGTTCACCTGCTTCAGCTTACCAGTAGAGGGACAGAGAAGTCCCATAATGCTATAAAATGTTTCACAATTACTTTGGCCTGTAAAACGGCAGGTGGAAAATTCCAAATGCAAAATTAGACCCTTAAAAGTCTTTCGACAAGTCACACCCAAGTGTGTTATTCTTTTATTATTAGTGAAAGTACAGTATAAACTAGGGCAGTGGTGCGTGGAACCTTCTGTTTCTACAATTCAAAGGAGATGCAATCTTGGCTGAAAACCTGCTCACAGCTTAGTTCTCTATTCAGCGGGCCTGTGGGTGCACATTTATGTACAGAATTGCTGCCACTGCATTTTAAGAAACAAATATTTAAAGAGTCTTCAACAAATCTGAACACAACTCTTCCCTCCCACATTTGCTAATCGCAACTCTGTACTGATTTCAATAACTGGACTTGATAGTCTGCATTTGATTATAAAGAGCTGGAGTTGAAAAAACACACATAATAACAACAACTCAATATGCTAATTAGGCTATGATAGTTATTTTCCTGTCAGCCTTTTCTTTGAGTTGCTTTCCCATATTCTGGCTTGTTTCCCAGTAATTGCCTGTTCACCTGATGACACCTGCGGGTACTGGCAAGACGGCATGATCAAGCAGGCTTCTAACAGCCAATCTCTGTAAGATAGACAGCTCACCCATGATTGGTACACTAGATCATGCGGGAGCCCCTGTGAGATGCGATACATAACAAAGATTTCAGCTTTATGATAAAAACCAGCTCCTTGGCTTGCATTCACAGATTATAGCATGCTTTAAAGAACAACAGCACTGACGTTTCAGTGATCCAGCTCATTCAAGCTAGCCATTAGACTTTTGGATGAACACTGGGGGCAGTTGGGGGAGTCTCTGAAGCTCTTAATCTAGCAAGAAACGTGTTTCAAACACAAAGAGAGAGGTCTGAAATCCAAAACGTACAAAACCTATATGCTTTTGGAGAAAAAGAAGTTTGAAGGACCATGTGAACCACAAGCTTACCAAACAACCGCAGATGCAGAAGAGCAACAAGGAAGAGTTGTGTGACCCCTTAAAGGCTCAGGCATTTATTGCAGTACAAGCTTTCCTCCGCCATCTCCCCAAGTGATCATGGAGCTGCTTTGTATACAAGGCACTGTCTTGCTTTGGCTGCCCCAGACTAAGATGCACACCCCACTTGAAATAACAAAAACTGCCTAACACAATTCCATTCTGATCAAGGAATTACTCGGGGCATCGCTCAAGCAACTAGTTTCAGTGTTCTGTTTCCTTTCCCCAGTCAGCTTTCCAAGCGTCAGCACACTCCTTAATCAGTGACCAAACTCCAGAATGATGGAAGTGGTGCACAGCAGCTTCCTAGCTCCCATGGGCAGTCCCCTGCGCCACTTGAAAAGGCCCTCCAAAGGCTCTAGTAGCACAGGGACATGGGAAACTACCTTACATTTGTTTCTCCATCTAGCCCAGCACTGCCTTCCAGCTGGCAATCCTCCAGAGCTTTCAGGTTCTTCCCACCACCAAGTACTTGGTTCTTTTTTCTTTCAAGTGACGATGCCAGGGAGAGAACCTGGAACCCTCTGTGTGTGCAGCAGCTAACTCCATGGACTTTTACCAGGGGGAAGGAAAGGCTGTCCAAGGTTCAGCCACTGTCTTCCCATGGAAGCAAGAAAGTGCTTCATATGAATGCACGGATCTTTTTGGATCCTGAACACTTGGAAATGCCTTTCATGAAGAAAAGGCTGACTCTTCAGACTGTTCTTTCAGAACATGTAGTTTCACTCCTCCATAATCGGCATAAATGCAGTTATTAATGCAGTGAAAACTTTCTGCTTGACAAGCAGCTTGCCAAATGTTTAAACACACCATTTTGAAAGTTAGTATTGGGCAGATACTTCACTTATCATCTCACAATTATTAAACCCAGACTATGTGAAGGAGGTGGCCTTTCGTTTCCCAAGTATTCACACAGAGAAGATAACTAAAAATGTGCTCAAAAGCTGGATTTTAGTTATTTTCATAATCCATTATTAGAACTTTTTAAAATCTATGCTAATTAACCTGGAGTGTACTCCTTACCACTAGAGTAGACAGACATTGCCATTCAACTTTTAAACGCTATTTGGAGGAAGGAACAAATCACATGAATAAAGTGTTTAGCAGTAGCTATTGTTCTATAAATGATCTTATGAATGGCACAGGACACAAATACTTCCATTTTCCATTCTTATAATGTTAGAAACTTAAGTTATCGGAATTGAAATGGCTAGCATTTTTTTAAATAGTTGCAATTGTTGCAGATACTGGGATCTGCATGTAAGAAACATAGTTCCACATAACTGCTGCCATATGAGAAGAGCAGTTCTGCCCCAGATTTGATGCATTTCTCCAGGCCACAGCAGCACTCTTTTCACTGAATTTACCATGGCATGGCGAAACTGACACCATCTTTGTGGTGAACTGCTTTACACAAACAGCTCACCATGGTTAGGTGAGTTACAGTGGAGTCCATGTGACAGCTCCTCTGAGAGGTCATTATAAAGATTTTTTTAATGCAAAAACAAAACAAAACAAGGACACTATCCTATTTGCTGCTACCTTTAACATAAATTGCATTACACGAGTGCAAGTAGCATCTGTTGCAGTACCAGTAGTGTTTGGTATTGAGTGCATGAGTGCAACTTTCTAGAGAAAGTTGATAAATCTGTCTCAAGAAAAGCAGTTTTATCAGTAAAAGGTGATGCACTAGAAGCTGTTTATGCTAGTGGGATACTATTTATGTTAATAGTATCAACAAGGATTCTGCCTCAGATAAATAAATCTGAAGCTTTAAATGGGGATCGGACAAATTCATGCAGGAGGAAGCTATCAATAGCTACTCGTCTTGGTGGCTATATGCTATGTTAGTATTAGAAGCAGTGTGGCATCAGTTGCTGGGATCCTGTGGGCAGATGGTTTGCCACTGAAAGCTGATTTAGACTGACCATTGCTCTGAACTCTTCTTCTGTTACTTCTACAAAGTTAGTCCCCCTTCATTTTAATGGTACCTATGCATAAAGAATGGATTAAGAGGACAATGGATAATGCCATCCCCTAATTGTTCATAACCTTTCTGAGCAAAGTCTTCCACAAATTTTATTCAGTCTACTAGGACAGCCATGGTTGCAAGCAGGTACCCATGATGTGAAGATCTTCTTTGAATCTACTACTGGCACGTCAGTCACTGAACAATATGCGAGAGCAAGCTTACGTATCTCTGTCCGTTCAGATCCTTGCAATATGTAGTTCCAAGTATTTGCAACTTAACCAGGGCAACCCCCACTCCATCTGATTTTGAACTTCCCATACCTAATCTCTATTGATCCTTGAGTAAAATGCCTATCTTTTACATTTGACAGCAATTCTGTGCAGCAAGCCCATCCCCGCTCTAGGGCAAGGGAAGGCTAGCAGAGAACCCTGCTTGTTATCTCAAACACTGGTCAGAGTGGGCAAGGGGGATTTCTCTTAGTGGGGTGCTTTCCATCTCATTTGGGAAGACTGGGATGGACCAAGTTCTTTGCTTACCCAACAGTCTTCCCAGCAGAGGAAAGGACAGGGCAGGCCAAACTCCTCCAGCTGGTGCCTCCACTGGGCCTTTGCAGGCTCTCCCTAGTTGTGGAAAACCTGCAGAGTAAAGTTGGGTTCTCAGCTGGAGTCCTGGCTGCAGGAATCGCAGTTGGTGCTTTAGCTGTGAAGTGACAATGGCAGGAGCTTTGGCCCTGCCCTTCGTATCATTTGGCTCACAGGGGGAAGGACTTCTGGAAAACTCATCAGGTCTAAAACAGTTTGCACCCCCATAATATTCAGATATAAGCCCCTCTTTGTTCAATTGAAAAATGAGGCAGCTATTTACACAAAACTTTAATGTATGTAGCCCTCACACATTTTCAGACACAAATCTGAAGTACAGTTATTTTTAAAGATTTGCTTTGTAACCAATGGGCTTTGTATCAGGACTATGGGTTGGATCCAGACTTAGTCATTCTTGGAGTAGATGCATTGAAATCAATGGGACTCATCAAAATGAGCATAATTCACATTGATTTCATTTCACTCTAACAATAACTAAGCATGGATCCAACATGATGTCTACCTAAATGTCCATCAACTGTAATAATGTTTATATACATACAAATGTACTGATACTTTTAACAGCTGATTTAGTTATTTTAGCTATTTCAGTGCAGCATGCTGAGAAGTTTGATATAAATATAAAGCACTATCAGGTTTCACCATCCCCCTCCTTTTACAGTCTTTTGTAGAAGACAAAAATGACACCATCATAGAGTTACATAAAAGACTTGATGGGTATTGATTTAAAGCACACTATATCAAGTGGTATTGCATGGTCATAAATTTTCATGGTCATAAATTTTAATGCCTTCCAGTTCTGCAACCTCTCCATAATTTGTCAATAACAACAGTTTGGCTTAAAACATTGCTATTGTTTCTTTATAACACTGAACTCCATTATGCTGTTCGGGTACACAAGGTGTAACAAAGCCATAAATCAAATTTTGCATTCTTACACTTATGCTGATGTCACCGTTTTTAGAAAGGTTGATGACCTTACAATACATTTTACTTTTAAAGCAACATAATTTTTTTTAAAGTAGCCTCACTGAGTTTTTTGTCACAGCAAAATTTGTGCCTTAATTGTTAGAGTTTTGGGCTTCATCCTTACAATATACTTCTTTCGAAATATATACTTGGCAGGTATTAACAATGAGTTGCTTCTGTCTAACTTTGATGCTTGATTATAGCAAGAGCAAACCATGCATATACATATTTTCACTCTAGTGGTATAATTTCAAATATTCCTTTAGAAGAATGAAGCTTTTCACAGAACAGGGTACAGAATACTGCACTTATTTCTTCAATGTAATCCCATTTTAGAAGTAAACCTTGCTGATTATATCCATACAGAACATACAGGCGCATCTGAATAGTAAATTATTAATACTATAATTATGTTACATGATACTGTGATTAAAAATAAAATCCAGTGAAACACATGGAATATCGTCCAAAACTGACACTGCTAGGAAAAGAAAATCTGATTTGCATAAAAATGGCAACTATTTTATTTTTTATTCGCAAACTGCTTTGGGGGCAATATTTTGAAAGAATACATTTTCTGTCAACAACAAATCATAAGAATTATGGACTCTTGCATTTTTTTAATTATTTTTTGTTAAAAGTAATTTCCTGTTTTGATTTGAGCTTGCAATAATTATTTAACATATTGCGTCACCTTGGCTTAATATGAAGCTGGAAAGGCAGCATATAAACATTTTAAATGAATACATTATGACTTATGGCAATTTATTTATTTTGGGTTTAAAAAAACCTGAAAATGAAAACATTTCCCAAATGTTGTGACTTTTCATACACTTAGTCACAGCAATTCTTTTCTGTTAACTAGAAAATTCTGAAATAATATTCAGAGAATTCGAGTTCAATGTCATCTGCCAGACCATCGTATTTCCCATGCAGACAAGTCTGTCTTACCACTTTCCCAATCATTTTCCTCTTCCACTCTCAGAACAGTGCTGGGTGCATGTAGCTTCAATGCAGTCACATAAAGTATCAGGTTCCCCACAGTATGCAAACATTTGCTTGGAAAAGAAGGCAATTTTAGGATCAGGCCTTGGTTTTCTTGCTTTCTTCTTTTATGTAGAAATACAAAACAAAACACTCCCTTCCTTTCTTATGTGCATGTTTTAAAGTGTGATTATTTGGCCTATGGGAATTTTTAAAATTTCTTATTTCGACAAATTATTCAATGCTATGCCATCAGACTAGGGAGAAAAGCAGAATAGAATACACTGCAGCAATTAAAAATTATACTTTTTCATGAAGCATTATCACAGCACATAATATTTCTTGTATGGGAGAACTGTTGAGCAACCAAATCTAAAAGCAGTTGCTAAGGATTTTTTAAAGTTTCATAGGACACAGATGGATCCAAAATAACTAAAAATAAAAAACCACCCTAAACCCAAACATTGTTCATTTTTAGACTCACTTCCACAAGCAAAACACTATTAGTCATTTTTTCAGTCTCTCCAGATATTTTAACATCAATGTACAAGTTAATTTTTTAAAAAATCAATCTGTCTGCAATGGATTATAAGTTCATGGAAGAAAAAAGTTCAACAAATGTTGATTTCTTTATGACTTTTGATTAAATTTTATTATGCCTTTTGTGGCTGGGAGGATGGGAATGGAACAGAGATGATACTGTAAAGGTATGGGTGTAGATACATTCAGAAACTTCATCTATGCAAATCCTACTGAAAGTAAACATATTTCTTGTTATCTCCCATTCATTCCAATAAGACATATGAAGGAGATCTTCTGAGTTTTGTGATTTTGACTTTGATGTGGAACAAACTAGAAATAAAATAATACATGTAGGGCATTCTTAAAATAGAATAGTTTGGAGCAGAATTTAAGAGAATAATCATATGGTAATTGAAGAAATGCTAACCCTATGAAACTTTATGCTTGAGTGTAAATTTTGTTTTCACTGTTTACATTTGTAATAGAACAGGAATAATAAATATTTTTGAAATTCTGATATTTTTCACACAATATTGCAGCCAATGAATCCTAAAGTGCCAGCCACATCTTATTTTTTTTTAAAGAAAAAGAAAAAGCAAGCTTGTGAGTCAGTATTTGAAGCCTCAAGTGGATGGAACATTTTGCTAGAACAGCTGTTTGTTAATGCTTGACTCTGGGGTTATTAATCTTCTTTGTAGGTAAGCAGGTGATTCACCCTAATCAAGTTGCTGTTGTCCAGGAACAGTTTTCACCCAGCTCTGAAAAAATAAAATGGGCACAAGAACTGATTGAAGCTTTTGAACAGCATCAACGCATAGGAAAGGTAAGACCTTTCCTTGTGTTTTTTTTCCAAAACAGAAGTGTTGTTTCAAATGGAGGGAATTTTGAAGTATGCAGAGTAGAATTTGTGTCTCTATAATAAAGGGTATGGTAATATTTATGTAATATTTAAACAAAATATAGCAATTTATATGTTAGAGAGAGGAAGCATTTTATACAGAAGTCTGTGGCATGTTAACTTTGCATGACAGCTTCAAATATGTGTAATAATTATCGGCATTATGATTTACCTGATATTTTAAATAAATATAGGGACTATCCATTCATTTAGTTGAATTAATTCAGCTATTACTATTATCTTACTAAGATATTTAATAAAGATAAAAAATGAAAAATAACTAGATCTGAGTCTCCATCTTGCATATTTATTTATTACAAGTATTTATAACCTGCTCTGTAATCGTCTTTTCTGGGCAGCATTAAAATTTCCAGAATGATATGACATTATGGTTCCTTTAGTTTTCTTTCTTTTCTCTGTGCTATTCCCCCAAATAACAGATATCAATTACTTCTCTTATTCTAATCTTGTGGGTAAAGTTACATGACTTCTTACAGGATTTTTGCTTATTGCAACACAGGGATGTGATGATATGTATTAGAACTTATTTTTGGACTGGAGGGGTTTTTTTGGATATAAAAGAGAGCAAATTAGCGTTCGAATATGATTGTTCCTAATTTAGTGCATCATTGAGTCTCATGTTTCCTGCTCTGTGGGTTTCTGCTATGTAAACATTGTGGTGGTGAAGCACAATCTGTCTTCACTTTGTGCCAGTAACACTTAAATTAGGGGTCGCCTGAAGGAAAATTTTATGCTAGCTGCAGCATTGTCGGCTAATTATCTTAAAGGTTATTTGCTATAATGTAGCTTGCCACTTTGTCGGGGGAGGAAGAGCAAGTTGCAATTAAACGTGCTTCTTTCAGTAAATGCCAAAAACTGAAATAGTTATGAAGCCAGCAAAGTATCAGCGTCCAGAAGTGCTGCAGAGAAAGTGTGATTCTCTCAATGTAATTTGTACAGTATTTAATTGCCAAAAAAGAAATGCTTCTGCAAAGCTGGACATGTACACACATGCATGCGCGCGCACACGCACACAGATGCAGGCACTCAAGATGCACACCATGTGCACTTCTTGCTGACCCTCACAAATCCCATTAACATTCATTTGATCTGTAAAAATAAGTCTGCTATTTCCTTCATTACATAAATACTGATCACATGTGCCATACAGAGTCATCACGAGATCTTTGGAACAGGTACAACTGACTGCAGTAAAAAAAGCTCCTCTCTTGTCTTCAACCATAGACGATTACATGTAACCCCAAAGGCAAAGCTGAATGTTAGCTAAAGTTTACTATAATTTATCAATTGATGTGATCAAGCTGCATCTTTTCTATTTTGATACCCTTATTTATATATGCTTAATGATTGCTGTGGATGATAAAAAGAATTAAAATATGCTCTTTTTGATGTCTTGCATTTCTCTATGCACCTGTTAGCAAGCATAGCTCTGCACCCATCTGTGTGCATACAGTGCCAATGGGGCGTGCATATGGCAGCTAATACTCTCCAGGGGGTTACGACAAATAACAGGAAGGCAACATGGGGAAGACGAAGCTGGCAGAGTATTTTTATTTGCTGCTTTTGCATCGCCGAGCCATTCACATTTTCAGTATGAAACTCTTTCCTGATCCATTATTTAAACCACTCTATCAGAACATCTGAATAAGCAACTTTCATGATTATTAAAGCATTTTTAACTTGTTTCAGAGATTAGCTACAGGTGCCCTCAAACTGATGCTTGTTTGAAGCTGCAACTGATTAATGATGATTTTGGAACCCATTGAAATAAATGCCATGCAATTAAGGGCAGGTATTCAAAAACACTTTAGCAATACTAGTCATGCTTCTGCTAACTTGTTTTTCCCATTGCCTTTGAATGTGATTCATGGAAATATGGAGGGTCTGTGTGACCTGCTGTTAACTCCTTGTATTTATCAATATGTCACTGAGCATTCAGTGCAGGATTAAATTTTGACCTCATCAGAGTGTGAGAGAGCTTTGTCATTGACTTCCAGAAATCTCCAGCCAAAGCCAGTGATGTGAAATATTCATTATAATCAGTGTTACCTGAAAACCTCCTGGCAGAGTTTGTAGTGCTGTACTGAACGGGGAAAAATTGCACTGGGAAAATATGGTCAAGTCTGATTGCTTATTTTTTCCCAAAAGATTTATCTCCTACTACAGGAGGCTTATATAGGCTGTCCAAAAGCAGCACTACAATTTTCATCTTGGTTTGATGCTTTTACTCTTGCTCTGCTCTGTTTTTCATATTGCTTCTATTACTCTAGTCTCCTTATAAGAGAATAATTGTAGAGATACCACGTTTCTGTTCATGCTGCTATATCCACTTTGTTTCTTCCAGTTTCTTGTATCATATTAAAGCCTTAAAGTTCAGAGAAGTTAATATACAATTAACTGATATAGTTAAGCCTTCTGTGGTATATGCATGTGCATATTATTAATTGAACCTGAAAATCTGAAGAAAAAAACATGAAACACTAAGGATTAAAGTGACTAGTTTGTTCACAGATAAATTGCTGATCTGAGATCACACTTTGTTGTTAATTGGAACTTCTTGATGAACCAAGTTCAATGCCCTCGGTCAATAATAGTTTACATTCTCATATAGCAATCACTTCACACAATTTATCACAGACTAGAAGGTAAAAAAGCAGCCTTCACTGAGAAAATTCAAGCTACATTCCTGCTTCTGGGAGGATGAAAGACTTTTGTTTAGTAATAAGCAGAAAGCAAAATAAGAAAGAAGTGGGATGTTTAAAATGGTTATTTCAGTTGTGTTACATGGGACTTTTTGACAAATGTGGGAGCATCAGTCCAGTAACTGTCCAGTCCAGTCATTTGATCCCATAGCAATGCAGACAGTGTATCTGTTGTGTACCCAAGGTTATGGATAAGCCTATTATTTTTTCTTTGATTGCGCAGGAGTACATAATGTGGTAATGGACAGAGACTGTCCCATTAGCACATTATGTGCTCGGAAGTCAGCTTCCTGAGAACCCAAATCCTCAACTTTGTGAAGATACGTTTCAACAAATGTGGGCAATTCTTTCAAAGCCAAAGGAGCAACTTGGTAAAACTTTGCATGAACATGGAGTGAGAGTTCAGTGCTTCACACAGATCTTATCTGCAAGATTAACAGATCTGTAGTTTAATTCTGTAGTTTAGTAAAAGTGAACTGATGCTGTTTTATATTGCTGCATACAGCACAGTAAAGCTTCTGCTATTTCCTTTAGATTTAGAATTAATTCCACTCCTCACAGGGATCACAAATTAACTGGTCTTCCAGAGTAGAAAACAATTATTCTTTACCTTCTTTACCACTTTCATTCCTCTCCAGATTGGTGATTATTTCCATTTTATACTTGCAGAACTATGAGAATGAGATCATTTCTTATCCAGAAATCCATGCATGAGATGAAATCAAGCAAATTATGCTAATTTGCATAATTTGTATTGTTTACAGAATCCAGCTTTTGTTAGCTCAGAAGCTTGATTTTTGTTCAGCACAGAACAAAAATACTTGGGTATAAATTATTGATTGTAGAGTGTGAAACTGTTGACTCCAATCCTATCTTAGACCTATGTGTTTTAATGAACACCTTTCCTTGAATGCAGACGAATAATACCTTTTCACAAACATACCTACTGAAAGATGTTCTACATTAATTCAAATCCTGAAAAGGAAAGAAAACAAACAAACAGGTTCATAGCTCCCCTGCCCATGTGCCCATGTTCAAGTCCTACTTGTGTCACTTTGACATTATAACATATAAATCCATCAAATATCTAAAATTAGGTTGCCATGACCTGAGGATGCAAGCCTGATACTGGGGGAGAAAGCAAAGCTAGTACAGGAGTGCTGAGAGGTGCTGGACTTTTTCTGTCTAACCATATATAGGAACATAACCATCATTGCACAATTCAGCACACATTCAGGAGCACTTGCATCCATGGGAATCAACAGACTTAAATATAATAAACTCTTTGTTGTACCATGTTCCTAAACCCTGGATGCATAAAAGATGTTGGCACCTCCTGGAAACATCCTTACTTCAAGAAACCTTCCTGGTTTGACCAGCCATGAGTTTTTATCAATAATGTTTAACATAAGGTTTTATTCTGTATCTTTTGCTGTTAGCTACTGTGGAATTAGTTTAGATGTAGAGTGCTATATAACTGTTATAAGTAAGAAGACCCAATAAGAAATTTAAAAATGAAGAGTCTGCACCTCAAAGATGAATACAGTTCTAACAGCATAAGCATTTGGGGAGTTCATCCCATTTCATCAAACAGAAGCAAAAGGCATGTCTTGGCTGAATTTTCCACACCACATCAAGGCTTAGAGTTGGCCTGCTGTTTACTTAAGCAGTAAATTAAAGTCATTAAAAATAAAATTTCTTTAAACACTTCACTTAGTTGCATAATTAAAACTTGAAGTCTAAGCAGTTTTTCATTTGAGAGCTGTTAAGCAATCTTAAGTGTTCTTATCTAATATATTTCCTCTTCCCTCTCACCACGTTTTAACTCATCATCGTTTGTTAGTCTTTATAAAGAAATAAAAGTCTTGAAAAGTATCATATGACACTTTGTCAATTGTAAGGTTCTGGGGCAATGGACACCATCCTGAAACATCATGCTTGGCTGAGCATGCAGTCAAGAAGCCAGTCCAGAGTGGAACATTGTACCACCTGGCCAATGCCCCCGCTCTTGGAAGAAATAACTACTCTTCTGGACAAGAGAGCCACAGAAACAATCGCCTCTTGCCAAATGCTTACCAGTTCCCCCTCCCACTTAGCATTTCATGGTACTCCAAAAGATGCAAGCATCTACTCCATTTCCAACCTATCAAGACCAACAAAATTCCAGAATGCTACCTTGTCTTATATTTTCCTCCTACTGCA